CACCTTCCTTTGTGCCCGCGAGTGTGTGTGTGTGTGGGTGGGTGTGTGTGCAGAGGTGGTAGCTCCTTCTTCTAGCGACGCATTGGCGGGCTTTGTGCAGCACGGCGGCGTGGGCGTAATGGTCGACTGGCTCAACAGTGCCGCCAGTGCTGCTGCTGCTGCTGCTGTGACTAGTGGTGCCCCTGGTGGTGGTGCTGCCGGTGGTGGTGCAGAGGTGGGCAGACACCCACTGCCTCCATCCATCCATCCATCCATCCATGTGTGTGTGTGTGAGTGTGGGTGTGTTTGTGTGTGCAGGTGGGTGCGTCCCCGCCGTCGCCCTCCTCGCCGACCAGCAGCAGTGCTGCGGACGTGCTGGCGCTGATATGTGACATCCTGGGGGTTCTTGACCGGCTCGCGATGAACAAACGCACTCTCACAGACACTGGGGTAAGTGACACACACACACACACGGAGAGAGAGAGAGAGAGAGAGAGGGGAAGTCTGTGTGTGATGCGCGTCGCATGGTGGGTGCGTCAATCTCTGCCCCTCTCCCTCTCTCTTTCTCCCTCCCTCTCCCTGTCTCTTGCCATGTGTTGTGTGTTAGGTGGGCAAGTGTGTGAACCGTCTGACCAAGCCCGAGAGCGCCATCACCGATGCTGAGGTCAAGGCCCTCGCCAAACAAATAGTCGACAAGTGGAAGAAACAGATAAAGGAGGAAAAGGTCAGCACACCGTCACACACGCCCACACACAGAGAGAGACGAGAAGACCCGACACACATCCATCCATCCCCCTCTCTCTATTGCTTCTTTATCCCTCTGTGTCGTCAGTCGCCTGTCCCACCTCCCGCGGTGCCGCATCCACCCCCGCCACCAGCACCAGGACCAGCACCCCCTCCCAATGCCACTGCCACTGCCAGTGCCGTTGCCAGTGGCCCGTTCACGACCATCGCAGCACTGGAGCAGGCCAAGCCCTCCCAGCCCAAACCACCGCCACAGCCACCGCCCACACCCAAGCGTAGGGTCCACACGCATACACACAGACGAATGGATGGATGGATGGATGGCCACGTGTGTGTCGAGTGTGCAGGTGGTGAAGAGAAGACTGTGGATGTGTTCACGGGAATGGCCGTGGGTGCCGCGAGGCAGAGGGAGAGGGAGAGGCTGGGGCCTTGGGAGATGGAGACGGAGCAGCAGCCACACCCACACCCACAGCAGCCACACCAGCCTCAGCAGCCGACAGACGAAGCCATGATGGTAAGTAACCCCGCTCACATCAACACATCAACACAGCACACAGCATTCTTGTGCAGGGAATGGCCATTGGCGATGGTCCGGTTCCCCCACCGCCGCCGCCGCCCCGGAGGTCAGCCAACAGTGGTGGAGGGAAGACTGTGCGGTTCAAGCCTGCCGAGGAGGGCCTCTTGCACACTGTCTACTTTTCGTATGACGAACCGCCCAACGAAGTCATGATGGTCAGTGCTCGCCAACGCCCACCCCGCCCCTTTGTGTGTCTTCCTGAGCACATCTCTCTCTCTCTCTCTCTGTGTGTGTGTGTGTGTGTGTGTCTGTGTGCATGTAGAGCAAGCCAATGGTCGAGATGATGGGTGTAGCCGACAGCCGTGACCGACAGCACGAGGCGTTTCTCTCCAAGTGCCGGGAGGAGCACATGAGCGAGCGGCACAGCCTGACGCAACAGCACCATATGCACAACCACCAGCAGCAGCACCGGCGCGTTCTCAGCGACGAAGAGGAGATCGAGGCCACCATCGGCTGGAGATGGCCAGAAGGTTCGCAACCTCTCTCTGGTGTGCACATGATGTCTGTGATCTGTGTGGTGTGTGCAGAGGTGGCGAATTTGCCTGAGAGGGGTGGTGCTACTGAGGAGCGGCCGGGGTCTTCAGCAGCAGAAGGAAACAGGGCCAACCCATTCTACAATCCGGTACACACACACACACACACACACACAGAGAACGAAAGAGAGATGGATGGACGCGTGTGTGTGGATGCAGTCGTTGGACACGTCGATGCCTCCCCGCCCTGCCTTCGGCGTCACCCGGCCCCCTCATCCCATTGACGAGTCGGCTGTGCACCAGCTCATGCCATTCGCCTTCGATACGAGTAATGGTAATGGTAATGGCGGCGATGGTGGTGGGGATAATAATGATGTCGACGACGCGCAGCAACAAGAGCAAGACCAGCAGATGGTACCCATACCTTTGCGGGGGCACACCTTCACCCACTCTCTCTCTCTCTCTCTGTGTGTGTGTGTGTGTGTGTGTGTGCGTGCGTGTAGGGTGACCAAGCAGCAGCAGCAGCAGCAGGAGGGGAGGGTCCAATGGACGACGCCGAGGCAATATCCGATTCGTCTCTCGACTCTCTGACGCACCCAGACCACCCAATGGAGGCTGCCGAGCCAGCGCGCGCACCCGCACCCGCACCTGTGCCTATGACGATGGTGGACCAGTCATTTTCATTTATCATGCCCCACGGGCAGCAGCCGCCCCCTCCCCCACCGCCCCCGCCACCGCCCCCACCACGACCTAGTGAGCACACACAATGAATACCGACAGGCGGACCATCTGTGTGTGCGTGTGTGGTGGGGGGTGTTCAGGTGAGGTGTCGCTTGCCTTTGCTGGTTCTGCTGGAGCTGGGGGTGGGGGCCATGTGCGGCAGGGCATGCACTTTCCTGGTGCACCACTCGCTGCTGCTGGTGGTGCTGCTGGTGGGGGTGGTGGGCCGGGATCCATGTACCCCAACAACACCAGCAACACCTCTCTCCCGCCAGCACTGTTCACCAGCACGCAGCCCCAGCACAGCGTCAGTGCATGAGCACATGATAGAAAATCACACATGGATGGACACGGGTGTGTATATCTGTGTGTGTAGGTGCAGCCTCACAACAGCTACTACCCTCCTCCCCCACCCCAGCAGCCACAGCACCCCCAGCCGCCAATCATGGCCCCCGCCCCCACCATGCCCTCTCTCTCCCACACCCAGCAGCAGCCATTCGCACCACTCGTTGCCCAGCGCCAGCCGCAGCCGCAGCCGATGGACATGCAGTGGGGCCAGTACTCGACCGTGGGAGACTCATCTGTGACAGCCGGTGGCCAACCGCAACCGCCAAGTGGTGTTGGTACTATGGGCATGACTTTTCCGTCACCAGCAGCAGCATCACCTCCTGCTGCTGCTGGTGCTGGTGCTGCCGGTGGTGGTTTGGGCGGATTCTCGCTATCTGCTGCTGGTGGGGGTGCTGGTGCTGGTGCTGGTGCCCCCGTGGGTGTGAGTGGCTTTCCGTCGCCCCCTCCCCCTCCCCCTCCCCACCCGCACGCACAGCCTCAGCTTGGTCATCAATTCTCGCCATCATTGGCTTACCCTCACCGCCAGCCCGGCAACACATTCCCGCAGCAGCAGCAGCAGCAGCACCACCACCAACAGGGCCAGCAGAGCCAGAGTCAGCAGAGTCAGCCAACCGACTCAGGAACTCCTCTCGCTCACCTTCCATTCGCCGCACATGGTGAGCGAAAAGAGCCCACCCTCCACACACGCAACAATCACTGAATGTGCTCTCAGGTTTCTCTGCTGGGATGTCTGGAGGTCATTATCGAGATGACAACAATGAAAGAGGCATCGGCACCATGGCCAGAGGCCGAGGCGGCGGGACTGGGCGGGGGAGAGGCGGCCGCGGTGATGGTCGGGGTGACAGAGGCAGAGGCAGGGGAGGAGCTGGAGGGAAATTGTCGATGGGATCGGCAGAGGGGCGGCGCAATGGGGCTGGTCGGGGCTTCAGAGGAGGCCGCGGGCCGTCAAGGGGCGGCGGCAGAGACAGTGGTGACCGGGGCCGAGGTGCATCGATCATGAAAAGAGACCATCCGCATGACCGTGCTACCGGTGGTGCTGGTGGTCATGGTGCTAATGGTGCCAGTGGGGCTAGGCCGCACCACCACCACCATCCACACAGCCCCCGCCACCACCATGGCAGCCTTGTTGGCGGGGGTGGGGGTAGGAGTGGGGGCGGGGCTGCACAGATACCTGAGGGACAGACGCAGATGCCGGCGTTTGACCCATATCAGGTGGGTGAGTGGTGGGTGGGTTGGCAATGCGCTTGCAGTTGTGTGTGTGGGGGGGGCTCTGGATGGCGTTGGTGTGTTCTCTTTGTGTGTGTTTGTGTGTGTCTTTGTGCAGCAATGGCCGGCACAGCAGCCACAGTCACAGCAGCAGCAGCAGCAGCAGCAGCAGTGGAATGGGTACAGTGCTGGTGGGTACACGACTGCAGCTGGTAGTGGGGGGTTTACACAGCAGCAGCAGCAGCAGCAGCGATGGTGACTCACGTGTACGTCTGTGGCTGCTGAGTGCCATTTGTCTATCTGGGTGCGGTGCATGTGGTTGCTCTACCTATGAGTGGACAACTAACCGCCTGTATGTTGTACAGAGAGAGTGAGGTGAGTGAAGTGCATCGGTCAACCGTCATTGCGTTGTGAGAGAGACACACAACCGCTTTCCACTCGATCGACAGCAAGCATCTTGACCGTCTGTCGCCTTTCCACACACCCCCACACGCCATTCGTCATGCCTACCCATACACAGACTACAACACATCAAGTCAAACGTCACATCGCCCTCTCCCCCTCAGCCCCCACACCCGCGCAATCCGACAAGATGTCGACTGCCATGGCCACTCCCACTGCTGCTCGCGGCAGCATCAGCGGGCACCAGCAGCAGGTAAGCAACCTTTCGCTTGTCCCTGCTCATGCGCTTTGTAGGCAGCAGTAGGCGGCCGTCGTCGCCTTTCATGAAGAAGAAAGGGTCGCGTCTCGGTCTTTCTCGATGTCTGTAGTGTGCGTGGGCGTGGGCGTGGGCATGTGGGCTGGGGGAGGGAGGAGGAGAGGCACGGGGAGAGCCTGCAACCATCATCACAGACAGACAGAGAGGGAGAGGGATATTATGAGACACGGTGTCGCACGTGCACAGTTGTGCTGGCCGACCTTGTTGGACCTGCCTTCTCTCGCTTCGGTGTGGCCTTTTCCCATCGGCCTTCTCTCTCAGCCTCAGCCGACACACGTCATGATGGGTGTGGGTGTGGTCGGATGGGAGAGACTCCCTCTCCCTTTCCCCCTCCCTCTCTCTCTCCCTCGCCGTTCTGAACATCACTCTCTCCCTCTCTGTGTTGTCGCTGCTACTGGTCTCGTCAGTTGTGTGTGGCCGATGGCCCATCGTCCGTGTCCGTGTCTGTGTAGCAGCATTCCGCGTCTCCCTCTCACCCCTCCCGGCTTGCACGCCCACAGACACACCTTCACCCGCACCTACACGCCATCCGCCCTTGTGTTTTGGTGAGAAGAATGACCTTCTCCCGACGGCCTCTCTGTCTCTGTCTCTGTCTCTGTGTGCATGTTTGGGTGACCCCGATCGCGAGAGAGAGCTGTCGTATCTGAGCGAGAAGGGGGTCGTCTGGCCGTCACCCCCGGCTGCCTCCGCCGAGCTGTCATCGGGTGGGGCCTCTTCAATGGGAATGATGGAGACAGAGGGTTTCTTCCTCCGATGATACGCCGGAGGGGCGGGAGGGGGGCTTGGGGCTTGTCTTTTTTCCGCCGTGTTGCCACCCACATGGACATCCAGACGCTGCCGCTGTTCTCCCTCCGTCGCTTGCCGGTCGTTGTAAGAAATGCCACCCAGTGTCTCTGGCTTGTCTTCTGGTGCTGGTGCTCGTGGTAGTGGTGATGGCTCCCTCTGCTCGTCGACAGTTTGCTCGTGTCTCTCCGACAGCAAGACGGCACGGTGAGCGCCAGCACCATCCACCGTTGCTGGTGCCCGTGGCTCACTTGGTTTGGGCTGCTTCGGTAGAGAGGGAGGGGGAAAGGGAGAGGAAGGGAGAGGGAGAGGGGATTTGGGTGAAGCGTCGGCTTTGAGGGGCGACCTCTCTCTCTCAGGGGAGGTGCATGAAGATGACCGATGGCTGGTGCTGAGTGGAGAGGGCAGCCTCAGATACCGATTGCGTTCATAGCCACGCTTCAGCTGCAAGCAACAGTGGGACAAGACGAAATATGCCCGTCAATATCCTCCGGACTCTCCCCTTTGTCTCGCTTACAGCTCGTTTCCGCATTCGCCCGGTCACATTCCGCAGCCCAGGCCGCCTTCTCTCCCTGTCCCTGTCTCCCTCTGTCCGCCCTTTATCGCCCACCGTGTGAGCCTCACCAGCAGGTCCTCTTAAGCCCATCAATCCACCCAGTCCGCCAAGCGGCGTGTGTTCGAATAGGGAGTAGAGGTCATCACTGGCGGAGTGGGTGAAGGTGATGTCTCCGCTGCTCTTCCTCCTTCTGCTGCGGTGATGCGCGTGTTTGTTGGAAGGAGGGGGAGGAGGAGATGGTGCCGGTTGTGGCTGCCCAGGCTGTGGCTGCAGGGGCTCAGTTTGGAGCGACCTGCGTTGTGGGAGAGAGAGAGAGAGAGAGTGCGCGGTGCATGCAGTCAATGATTGGGTGACCTGATGGTGTCTCTGAGGGCCTTTGCAGAGGGCAGGAAGCTGTGGCGCTCGATGGACTGCCGCCGCTGACACGACAAGACAAAGGACAGCGCACACTTTCTGCACTCAACACTCCGCGTATGTCCACCCCCACCTCACCCGGACGTAATGGCTCGCCTTCTTGTCCTCGGCGGCAGAGGCATCGACATTGGCAACCGACGTCTGCAAAAGCTTCCGAGCAGACTGTGCTCCTCCAGTGCCTGCGCCAGCCACAGCAGTCATTTCCACTTTCTTGTGCGCGCTTTTTGGAGGTGGGGCCCGGGCGATCCGGCGCATCTGACTCGAAAAGATGTTCCAGATGGCACGAGCGGGCGACAAGCGCAGCACCGAAGCCAGCTGTGTCGGCCCCTCAGCCAGAAACACATCCCCCGACCCGCCAAGGGACATGAGCAGCTTCGCATCTCTCAAAGGAGGCTTCCCAGCAGACTTCCACTCGCCACACGGCAGTGAGAAGGACTCCCATCGACATGAACACCCTCCCCACCCTCCCCCACCTATCGTTCCGCCTCTCAACCTCCCCGGCACGGCGCACCACAGGCGGCACAGCTACATGCCCTGTGAGGGCACCACGGCAGCCAGGTGGATGAAGCGCCAGTCCACCTGGAGCGACCGGTAAGACGAGACAGAGAGATTTGTCCAAGGAGGCAAACGTCTCTCTCGGGGCGCTTGCAGATACGCGAGATACCGCATGAACGCCAAACATCGATACTTTGGCGATGATAGAGGCGGTGGTGGTGGCGGTGATGAGGAGGCGACAACACGCAAGGCGATCATTCTGAGGCCATTGTTCTCGAGGGAACTTCAAGAAGAGCCGGGCGAGGGTTATGGGGAATGTGTCTCGGCCAACCCGCCTCCTGTCATCGAATCAGATGTTTGTCGATTGAGGGATGCTGATCAATCCGGACGCCTTCAATCCGTGACGGCCAAGTCCTCCAGAGGGATGTTCAGAGATGCGGATGATTCGGCGGGGCATGGTAGAGAGGGAGAGAGCGGGGCTCTATCGGCTCCACTAAGAAGCGATGCCGCCTATGTGTCTGAAGGGAAGAAGGCTGGATCTGATTCAGTGCTGGAAACAGCGGCCGAGAAGCCTTCAGGGGGAGAGCAGTCGACGTAAGTGAGACGGATGGCTGGTTCGCATTCAATCGATGATCGATAATGGATGTCTCTGTGCGTGTGGTGTGCAGATGTGCTGATGTCTCTGTAGCGAACCACTCGTCTGAGAAGAGCATGGCAGCCGCGGAGGCTCCGTCAAGCACAGCCCTATTCAATGGACACTCATGCCAGCCACCTCTCCCTCCCCATCCACGCGACCTTTCAGCTACAGCGGTGTCTCCTTCGATGCACTTCTCGAGACAGACCGACAAGACCGCCATTCTTTCCGCTGGAATGTCTGCATCCTCCCCGCCCCCTCCGCCCCGCAACAAGCGGCCACGTATCCGCCACAGCATCGATGTGACGGAAGAACGCGGTCCGCCTCTCGTCGAATTGGTCGACGACAGACCTGCCCTCTCCCTCCTACCCTTCCGTCCGCAGCAGACACACCGCACCATTCCACGGCCAGGCCTGTCGTCGCCCACCTGTGGACGGCCCCCGCCAGACACACAACATGGTGGCCGTGCCCGCAGGAAAGCAAGTGTTTGTTTCGCTGTTCCCACTGCGATGCCGCCATCAAGAGAGGGCCACAGCCACTGTGAGAGGAGAGTACGTGACCGGTCGGTGCAGACGGATATCAGTCATCCTGTCCAGATGACGATCATGCTGCCGTCGTCTATGTTGCACACCGGGCATCGCAGGAGAAGAAAGCGGCGTCTGTGGGGGGCAACGCCAATGGCAATGTCGACGAGGCAGAGAGGGGATGAGGATGGCGAGTTTGTGACCGCACGGGAAGGTCCGAGGCCGGCATGGACTGGGCCGCCAGGCTTCTGTCAGGGTCTGTGATCTGACGTGTGTAGGTGTGTGGATCATTGCTTGCGGCGTATTGAGAGGATGTGACGTGTCAGACATACCTTTTTTCGCTGCCGTGAAATGCAAGCTTAAGCTGGTCGATCTGAGACAAAACAGGCGACAGAAAAATGCCAATCTCCGCCGTTGCAGCCCTTAGTTCTCTATGGTTTCTCCTTTCCCTGCTATGCGTCGGTTCGTCCAAGCTCGAGAACGCCAGGAAAAGCGGCCTCTCCCTCCCCCTCCCCCTCCCCCAAACGTTAACCATAGATGTCAACACCTTCTCACACGCAGTGAGCACCACAATGCATATAGGGCGCTTCCATCCTCTCTCTCTTACTGTGCGTGCCCTTCTGTGTCATGCAGCAAGGAGTGGATACCTCCTGTGCGACGCATCGAGTGGAGCATTGTCTCTACAACTTTCTGAAGGGGCAGCTGGAGAAGGCCTGCTGTGATGATGAGGTGTGCCTGGTGCATTTTCGGGAGGCCAACCTCGACCCCAGTGGCCATCTGCAGGACAAGAACACCCAAGGTGGCGGGTTGGTTTGCACTGTCCACGCGCAAAGAGAATGAATAAGTCTTTCTCTCCCTTTGCAGGTCAATGTGTGGCAAAGAACACGCCTGCTCCGTGTTCCGAGGTGCCCATTGTCAAGGAGAAGGGCAATCTGATCGTCTCCCACATCAACCGCACATGCGACGGCGGCCCCGGCAACCCCTGCACTCACGCAGCCGACCAGTGCATCTGCAGCCCCAGCAAAGGTGTATGCGAGACGCCCACGTGTGTGTACGACCCCTACGAGGGGCGGCTGGTGAGCCGCTGCGCCGACGGGCACCACGTGTGCCTGCTGCTGTACCGAGACGCGAGAATCTGGAGGAATCTCACTGTTCCGGGGGAGTGTGTCGACCGCGGTTACAGGGAGGAATGTGTGGCGGTTGATGGGCGGCATCGGCATTATCGTGCACATGATCGTTTTCGGGTGCAGTGGAGCCACAAGTACACGCCCTGCACGGACGTGTGTGAGCCGGAGATGGGTGTGGGGGAGGGGTGCATATGCCACGGGGGCGTGTGCAGAGAGAGAGACAAGGTCGAGAGAAAGGAGAAACAGGAGCAGACAACCACACCACAGCCGCCCCCTGCTGGTGCTGGTGCTGGTGGTGGTGGGGGGGTTGGTGCATCGGGCGGTGGGAAGGACACGGTCAACCTGATACCCATTTTGATGCACATACCGAAGGGGTACAGGATTGACGTGGCTGCGACCAAGGCGGCGAATGAGACGAATGGAAAGGAGAAGGCCAAGTGATTGGATGGATGGATGGATGGGTGCTTACTGCGTGTGGGAGCGACGGATTTGCCTTAATTTGCTGTGAACATCGATGTGCATCGTGTTTCCGTTTGTGACACCTGCGGCTTGAATTCCGCGAGTGTTTGGATGATTCAGTCAGCATAGAATCCATCCATTCATTCATTCCTCCCACCCTCCCTCAATGCATCGCACCAATGACATAGCAACGTGACAACACCAACACGCTCGACGTGCCGGTGCTCTGACGTCACCGTGGCACCAGTGAGATGCAGTGAGAAAGAGGAGGCAAGACACGCAGGAAAATAAGACGGATCATCGCAGAAATCAGTCTTCTTGCGACCCACTCACTACAAAATGCCCCTTAATCGACAGGCAGACACACAGCCCACACCAAATCGGTCAGGCAGGATCGCGTAGCTGCATGTATCGTATCGACACGAGTGGCAGGACACCAACAAACGCTCTTCACGTCACGTGAGCACACACACGCATCCGTCCATCCATCCATCCATCCATCCATCCATGTGCACATCCGTCACCCAACCAAGGAAGAGAAAACATTGCTGCGTGTGGAGTCCATTGTGCACAC